AATAATACACCAAAATCTTCAATTGTCTAAATCTACTTTTAAAATATTCAGATAGAAACATCCTATAAATTTTAATCTGGAGAAAATCCCTCTGGAGCCTTCTGTCACATTCAGTCTAGACCAATAACCCTCTTGATCTTCCTTTCACTTGTTCCCTACATCCCATGTCTTCTGTTTTGGTTTATATTCAGTTTTGATAGCATATATCCTCCAAGGCATTAACTTAGATAGTAGACCTTAGAGACTTTGCATGACTTAAAACTTGGTATTCTAAATTGGAATTAACTCTCATAATTTTGAATGAACCGATCCACCGCTTCTAGCTTTCACGACTGTTCTTGAGAAGTCTGAAGCCATCCTGATGTCAGATCATTTTCCCAAGACTTATTCTCCCTCTCTTTGGAAGCCAATAGATCTTTCCTTTACCCCAAGGGGTCTGAATACAGCGCTGTGTCTTGGTGTGAGTCTTTTTATACCCACTGTGCTGGAATCTTGATGGTTGCTTTCAAACTGGAAACTCATGTCCTTCACTTCTGGGATATTTTCTCAAATTACCTTGTTGTAGTCATATTTTGTTTTTTAAATAAACTTTAAAAACTCTAAGTATATATAGATAAACATCAGGCTTGATGATATTTCTAAGTCAATGTGCGCATTAATATTTAAAAGCCAGGCCCCTAATGTGGATTAGAAACCGCAGGCATGTTGGCATTTACTGGTGGCTGCACCACTGGGGAACAGAGGAGGATGTGGCCATTTTTCTGTCGGAATCTCATGTAGCGTAGCTCTGTTTTTCTTCCTGTAGGCTAATTCATTTCCTAGAAAGGAACCCTCCAATCTCCTGTCTGTTTTCAGCTGTGCGTGACATCGCTAAGTCCACAGCCTCTATGATTCAACCTCTTCAGACAAGAAATCTCTAGTTTCATTCATGGTAGAGATGAAGCAGGGGTGAACCTGGGGTCTAGCTACTCCTTACATAAATTTACTTAAAAATTCTACAGTTGTCAACCCTACCACGCACCCTATAGTCTCTGGTCTTTCCAAGGTTCTGAAGCACTCACCAGTTTGTTTTCATTAACATCTCCCCATGCAGGTACTTTAGCTTCTTGTTTTCTATCTTCTAAAAGCAGACATCTTTTGTCTGCTGTTGATTTCTTTCTCGTTTATTTTGTGCTTGTTCTTTACACCTTCTTAGCCCTCTATAATCATTCTAATGGCTTTCAAGAGAGAGTGGAGGATAAATGCACTCTACCAGGCTAACCTGGAATACCTCCTTTGTTACACGTAGGCATTTTCAAAGGATCAGATACATGCTTTCTTTTCTCTACATCCTTAAAAATCTTCCTGAACTTGTATTTTTAGCTCCAGACCTGTATTTTCAAATGTCTCCTGGGAACACATGTCAAAAGTAACCCATTATCTTTTCTGGAAATCTATTTATTCTTGCAGCTTGGTGTCATAATCCTTACAGTTACCCACACTGAAAACTTTAATGTTATCTCCTACTCTTCCTTCTTTCCAAATCTCTGTATCTCTAAGATACCAGCAACCATCAGTTACACTAAAGAGTACTTATATCTCATCCTTAATATTTCATTGTCTACCTTATAGCTACTCCCCAAATATGAACTCATCCTACTCTATTCATCTTGCTTTCAGGTCTGGTTTAAATGCCACCACTTTCAGGAAGTCTTTCTTTATGCTTTCTAGGTTAAGTAAACTCTTCCTCCTCCAGAAAACTTGGCTTACTTTATTAACATTTCTCTTATGCGCTATTTTTAACATTTTTTTACAAATCTGCACGTGTTTTATTTCCTCTAATAGAACGTAAGAGTTTTAAGGAAAGAGGCTTTGAAGGAATCTATCTCTGACCTTACTGATTACACAGTTTTTATTGTGCCATCAGTATATATGCTATAGGAATAAACAAATTGGCAACTACTAAGGGAAGCAAGGAAAGAGGACACAGCATCTTATCTTCTGGAGGAAAATGTCTACCTACAGCTACAGTCCATCTAGATATAGTATATCATCCCAGTTAAATGGCCCTCAACTAGGTCAAGACCACAGGCTTTTACACTTAACTTTGCCACTGCCAAGCTAATCAGCTGCCATCTCTGGTAGCTAAAACTAATGGATTCAGATCTCACCTGTTATGGATTAACAATAAATGTGAACCACTAGATAGAATAGCAATCTTCAGTTAACAGTTACTCAGCTTCTGACAAAATCCTGTTTAGTTAGCATTTGAGAAAAATCTAGGAAATCATACTAGTCTTCATTGCTCTATAGAGTTTTAAGCTCTATCTTAATAGTAAGAAAACATAAACCTATATTAGTCTTCACAGAAATGTCTTCATTCAAATGCCACAAGTTTTTATAAAAAATAAGTCACATTAAGAGTCTGACATCTTCTGTAACATCAATGTTTGAAGACATTTGGCATTTTGTACTAGGTTGAACCAAGTAAAATTCCCAGTATTCAACTCTTTTTGACCTATAATAAGGGCATTTTTATATGCTTCATCTAGTAGTTCAGTCTTTAATAATGAGCTATCAAATTAAGTCATCTTATAATTTAGCAGTTAAAAAAAAAATTCGGTCTCATTTGTTACAGTAATACATTCTCCCAACTCACAAAGATGAGAATGACACTGAACAAAATGCTTTCTTTTTGCTTTAACTACCAAGAAGCTTGGTGCTGAATGTAGTACTCAACTGTGATAATTTCTTCAGTCTAGATGTTATAATTACGTGTAGGATTGATCTTGTTTGATTTTTTTCATTTTTATTGATCCAAACATATATATGTGTTTTTCTGGGAGTATTATAGTTAGTATTGTAGTTAGTATTGGTGTGTGTGTGTGTGTGTGTGTGTGTGTGTGTGTGTGTGTGTCTATATATATATTTATTTATAAATAAACAAACAAACTGGCTACCTAGAGTGCTGTGTTCAAATGGATTCTTTCTGAACTTGGCAGTGAAAGTACCAAGGTGGTCAACTGGTGATCTGGAGATATTCCATACACGTACTGGAAAGGAAAAGGCTGCATGGCACAAATCTGCAGCCCTATCCCATGTACTAAAGTACTCAAGGTCTATATTGATGAGGAATCAGAATTATGAAAGCCAATCTGTAACAGGTGAGATCTGAATTTAGAAATAAGAGAGGGGAATTAATAGAAATCGTAAAGGTATTCCTACCAGAGCCAATGAAATATGAAATAGGCAATGAAATGCAAAGGAATATATATATTCCATATGTATATTCATATATATGTATATATATGAATATGTATGTATGTATATATATGAATATACATATGGAATATATATATTCCTTTGCATTTCATTGCCTATTTATATGTATTTGACTATAGCTTGATTTAAGGATAGAATCTATAGTAAAAGAAATGAGAAATGAAGTTAGAGATGAGCTTTTTGAGCTGTGGCTTTTTGAGCAGAAGAGTGACGTGAAAAAAATGGTATACGAATGTTGAAAATCAAGTAATTTCTTTTTAAGACTAGAAGAAGCCTCAAAATCAGCATTTGACCACTACTACAGTAATAGTTCATTGAGTAAGATGCTAGTAACACTGGGTGAAAGACTATTGGAAAAAGGATATTTACCCAGTCAGGGAGTTACCAACCAATCCACAGATCACTTATCACTCACAAAAACAAGAAAGATTCTTTTTTTTTTTTTTTTAAGATTTTATTTATTTGTTTGACACAGAGAGAGATCATAAGTAGGCTAGTGAGGCAGGCGGGGATGGGGGTGGGGGGAAGCAGGATCCCTGCTGAGCAGAGAGCCCAATGTGGGGCTCGATCCCAGGACCCTGAGATCATGACCTGAGCCGAAGGCAGAGGCTTTAACCCACTGAGCCACCCAGGTACCCCAACAAGTAAGATTCTTTACGTTAATCGAATCTAATCTTATGATCAAATTTGGAGTCACCAGTAATGGGTTAACCTGTTATCATGTGCCTCTTTAGAGGATGCAATAAGGACACATCATCTATACAATATCATGCCCAAAACATTTAACCTAAATCCGATCACGAAGAAACAAAGCACAAATATCTAAACTAAAGGACATTCTCCAGAGCAACTAGCCAGAACACTTATGTCAATGTCACAGAAGACAGAAGCAAAACGGAACACTGCTCTAGGTTAAAGAAAACCAGAGAGACATGACAACCAAATGCAACAAATGATCCTTATTGGATCTGAGACTGAAGTTAAAAATAAACAGTTGTAAATACATTTTTTTGAACAAATGGAATGACACTTTATGAAGCATTCAGGAATAGGCAGACAGGAAATTTATGAAATTTAAGAGAGGGTATCAAAAGATATTTACTTTGCAGGTCCTTAGGGAAGTGGACACATTTCAAGTCTCCACCTTCTTCCAGGTCAGTTTATAGAGCTCTGCCTGGAGTTCTGAATAAACTCAAGTAATAGCTGTCTTCCCCCCTCCATCCTTCCTTTTACGTATATCTTTAGAGGAAACCTCACAGGGAGGATGCATGACTATGATCATATATCCTCTAGGACCTTTAAAACTCCATGATTATTCTGAACTGATTTCATTAGCCAGAACAGGGAGTTCAGGTGTGGTCCCAGGACCAGCATCATGAGTATCAGCTGAGAATCCATCAGAAATGCAGATTCTTAGGTTTGGCCTTAGACCTACCAAATCAGAAACTCTGTGGGTATGGCCCAAGTGATGCATGTTTTCAGGAGTCTTCCAGGGGATTCCAATGCACACCACAGAGCCAAGGACAAAATGAAGGTACTAAACTCTTATTTGACAAAATATCTACCTCATAGTTAAAGTCACTCTTCTTGAGATGCAGCTAAAAATTTAAGATCCAATTACATATAAAGATACTTGTAATAAAACCTAGTGTAACACACCACAGAGTCATAATTCATCATGTAGTGATCATACAGCAAAACCAGCCCACAATAAAAACTTTTTAAAGGCATCTACTTACTTTAATGTCTCAGCAAGAAAGAAACTCTGCTGTACATCATCATGTGTGGGAGTAGAAGAATACACATCCTTCACCCCAGAAAAACCACCACTGACTCGGCAATACTTTTCAATAGCCTGTGAAAGAAATCAGACAAAACAATTCCACAGAATATCAAGTTTTGAAGGACAAATTAAGGAACCGTAGTTAAAAGTTCACAAAGATCTATGTAAGAATTTGACAGGTTAAGAATAAGATTTATTATCAAATGGAAATATTCTCGCACTGGAAAAATTAACCGAGGTATCCTGTTTCCTGTGGAACTTTTCCCTCTCCAAAACTCTTTCATCTTTTAAAAACATCTTACATTTTTCTTACTTGGGAAAGTCAAGTTTGGACTATTCACACTGAATTAGAGACCTGTATAGCACAATAAATCCTCGTTAATTTTGACAAACCAGGGGAGGTTAATTTGAATTAAATTTTAAAGACAACTTTTTCACTTCTAAGAATAAACAATCCAAAACATGCTTTGAAAAAAGTTATTACCTAGGAGCTTTCCCTAGTAATAGCAATGAGGTAATACTTACTGCAAGTGTACTGTATGACAGACATTATATTACAATCCCACAAGTTAGGCATTACAGGTGGTACCAACTGGCAGGATGTACTCACCCACATAGCTGTTACAATAATTACAATATTAAAAGCTAACCATTATGAAGTTTTTGCTACATGCTGGAGGGTCTTATAAGGGCTTCATATGTATTAACACTAAAATCTCTAACAACACATGAGGTGTCTCAGTAGGCTCTACTTCAGACAGGAAAACTAAGGCAAAGAGTAATAATTTGCTCCACATTATTAACTACTGTGCTCTCTACTGCCCCACTGTGAGCTAAAATTCTTAATTTAGATCTCTTCTTGCATCTCTGAACATGTCTAAATAAAATACATGGAATCAAAGGGCACCCACTCAAACCTGTTTTTAATTCAAAGGAAGCAAATATCCTGCTTATGCAGGTCTATCACTATAAAAATAAGCCATTCACGAGAAGTTGAATCACATGTGGTTCTTTTCTTTCTCTGCTCTACCATAACCCTGAGACACTGTCATATGAAGGTATAGTTATTTAATCATTACCGCCATGGCTTCTTTTTCCTAATCTTGTTACCTTTCTTACTCTTCTGGTTTTCCTCTTCTCTAATGAAAGGCTAATTAACACTGAAATTTTTTATTTAATCAAGCTGTTCATTTTTATATAGTTCCATTTTTACTATAGCTGGGTTTTAAAAGTCTTCTTACCAAAGAGTTTGGTACTTTATCTAAATATTTTTTTTTAAAGACTTATTTAAGAGAAAGAGAGAAAAAAAGAGAGGGGAGAGAGTGCATGTGCATGTGCACGTGCAGGGGGAGGGGCAGAGAGAGAAAGAGGAAGAAAGAGTTTTCAAGCAGACTCCCCACTGAACATGGAGACCAACACAGGGCTCGATCCCAGGACCCTGAAAATCATGACCTGAGCTGAAATCAAGAGCCAGCTGTTCAACCAACTGAGCCACCCAGGGTCCCCTCTTATCTAAATATTTTAAACATATTTTGAATTCAAGAGTTTTTAAATACCATGTTCTGTGTAATGATCATGTGTCTTCACCACCAGAAAACTATCAGAGCAGTTTAAGGATACTGTGAAAGTAGCAGGGAGGCATGACTAAATCTTTAAGTCATTTGGAATAATTTCTTGAAGGCAAGTTTTCATGTAAGTATACTCAAATTTGGAAGTCTGAAGATGTGAATGTAATAGCTAAAGCTACAGAAGACATAGAGACTGTCTCAGTCTGTCTTCCCTTTTACCTTCTTCATATCCAACATGGGTATGTCCAGTGATGGACAAGAAAGCAACTTCTATTTAAAATGTGAATTAAGATATGAATCCTCCTCTTTTATCTCCATCCCTGCCTTTCCTCATCATGGCATCTTCTGAAACTTGAATTTAAAGCGTAATTACTTCAGTTCACGTACTTTATACTCTGGTTGTGAAACCTTCTTTTTACATAAATTGGTCTACATTCTGCCCTAAAACATATATTGCACATTCTTACCAAAGATATTTACTAACATTATTTACCTCCCCTACAATGTCATAATTCTGTCTAGGCTGCAACCTTATTAAGTTAAACAACTGCAATATGAATATTCATCATAATTACTGTTATTTGTCATAACTAGTATATCTCAAAGAATAAAACACTCCCTCACTCCCAGGAATATGCTATACTTTCATGAGAAGACTAATATTTTTCTTCCTCTCTAGGTAGTGACAGCCATGGGGTTCTCTGAAAGGCTAGGATTTTAAGAAAAAACCACTTGACTTCTTTACTTACTAACCAATAAAAATGTCTCACAAATAGATAAGTAAATAAACAGTCTTTCAATCTAGAAAAATTTTAACAATTCACTGATTCTTCTTATGATGGTCCACTAAGAAATTACTTGGAACACAAGCTGAAGTGAATAGTGGGTAATCTACCCCAGCTGTGAGTCTGGGCAGTTTTAGGATTTTTTTTTTTTCCCCCCTAGAGGTTAAGCCTTAACTGGCAAGTAAAGAAACTGTGTAATCATACTGAAACCCATAATGTCTTTTAAATGATTTTTCATTATTCAAGAAGAATAATGAGTGAACATCAGTAGGAAAATAGTTTTAATCAAGAACTAAACTGGATTCTAAGGTTTACTTCTACCGCTTAAGCAACTTAAATTAAGGGGCCCCTGGGTGACTCAGATGGTTGAGCAAAACAGGACTTCAGCTCAGGTCATGATCTCAGGGTCCTGGGATCAAGCCCTACAACAGGGACAGGCTCTGTGCTCAGTGAGGAGTCTACTTAAAATTCTGCGTCTCCCTCTGCCCCTCCCTCCCCTGCTCGTGCTCTCCCTCTCTCTCTCAAACAAATAAAATCTTGAAAGAAACAAAGAAAAGGAAAGGAAAGAAAAAAGAAAAGAAAGAAACTTGCAACTTAAATTGAGTAACAGAGTTTTTGCATCAGATAAATAAAGCCGCACTACAGTTACTGAACATGAGGTAACATGGATGAGGACATGTGGCTCTGTGGGCAGGCTTGATTTAATGCTCTTGCACATAAAATGAAATATTGGCTTATTTACCAGTGCTGCTTCCCATCCCCACTGCCTATATCTTGGATCGTGAGTGAATCGCCATAGGTACCAATAGGTTTCAATTACTTCTGGACGGAGGATGTAATACTTTTCAGCCTGCCGGACTGCCACAGCCTCTACTGCACCGTCAAACTTGAATGATTCAGGACCCAGCTTTAATGCTGTAACATGACAAAAGAAACAAATGAGCACAATAAACCATTTGTGTTTGTTTGCCAGAGCTTCTTTTTCCCCTGAAAGAATGGGGCATAATGTAAAGTTATGTTCATTTTGTTTTATTTTTATTGTGGCTGTTTTGCAAAATCAGTGACTTTAAAAGATCCACATTTGGTTTTCTTATACTAGCCTTATAAATATTCTTATTATCCTGACATGAAATATTTCTCATACATAATGCACATCAACATACCGCTAAATCCGACTATACTGACAAGAGTCTAGTAATCCTCTGGCAACAAATGCAAAGCTAGACATAAGCACATTACATATTCTGTTCTGTTCAAAAATAAAATGAGGCAGATAATTGTACTGTGCAGAATTATTTTTTTTAAGTCAGAACAATTTTAAAGTCCTTTTAAATATAACACACATATGTAAGAAAACATTTTAGAGCTCAGATCTTGAATTAGATTAAGGTGTAGATTATATACTTTTCGAGCATCCTACAGTATATAAAAAGCAATGTATTTTCAAACTTAAAGCAGTTTTAAAGATAAACTCTTCTCTCCTATGGCCCCTGTATATATAGTAAGGAAGAGATTCAAACTGTCAATCACCAAGAATTTCATCAGTATTGCCCATTTATCAATTTGAATAAAACAGGGCCATTACACATATATTTCAACACTACATTCTATTTTTTGAATGACATGATTTCCATTCAGGCTAGAATACAGCACTACATTAAAGTCTTTTCAATAACCTCTTTCTAATTACACTGAGCACCTTAACTCTGATCAATGTGAAGTCATCTTCCACTGGGATGTTGGGCTCACACATAATTACCATTCTCAGCTGCCATTTCTCTTTCCTTTTAGGGGTAGTTTCAAGATCTCTCATCTCTTCCAAAATATGCTAGACATTTTTATATTTTCTCAGAAAAGAAAAGGTAAAACAAGAACTATAATGCTGGTAGACCATAAACAGAACCATGCCACAGTTGCTGGCATGACATGGGTTGCTGTAACAAATTTCAGCACTACAAGGGAGATACTATAAGCTCTAAGTAATCCCATACAAATGTGAAAAGCCAGTCTTTCTCACCAACCATCACCTCCAAGAAAAAACACAAAACCAAAAGCCTTGTACCAATGGTTGATAGTTCTACTGAAAGCAAAATACATGATCCAGAAGAGTTTACCGCTAAGTCTAAGAGAACTAAAGCAGAACTCAAGCAAGAGATTTTCAACCTGAGGGTCATGAACTCTGTGACAGGCTCCAGAAGAAGACAGTGTTCTGCCAAGAAGCCTCTGAAACCATATGCATAACTCTGTGTGCACATAAAGCTTTTACCAGCTAGCTCTTCAATGGGATTTGAGGTTAGGATTAACCAACAACTCATCAATATTTTTTGTTAAAGAACTTCTATCCTGTTTATTAACAAGGTCAGCATATGATCAAATATGATTTGGAATTTAATAAATGTTTTTAAAATGACGATAAAAGTTAAAACACCATAAGCAATGAGATGATGGCAATTCAATAAAGAGGAGAATAAGTCATTTTATCTGAATTTCTCATGTTTTTCCTTTCTCAAAGAATGAATGCTAAGAGGTGATCATATGGAGTTTTCAAATGTTAATCTTAAGGCTAATGTTAAATTAGACAGTAACTTCTGTAATGATAATATTGCCTGAACTGGAAGTAGAAATTGGCTGCATGATACTAATATTTTAAACTTCTCACTAAAAATTCTCTCTCTCTGATTGGTCATTCACAACTTCACAAAAAAGACATACCAGAAAGAGAACATATCTGCTTTATGAGAAGTTGGTAAATAAGAATGTACAAGCCTAAATTATGTACCAATTATATACATTAGGCTGGTCAAATCACTGGCTTTGTGTTTCTGAGGGCATTATTTCTTATGTGTTCCTTTGTTTAATTATAAAAAATAATTTCCTAATAATCTTGCACTTAATTTCTATTTTCTAGCTTAAATTTCCCATTTACACTTGTACTTCACTTCCAGAAGGAAACTAACTAATCCAGCAAGTAAAAATGAGTTGAAACCATAAATAACTTAGGACTTGGGTAAAAAGAACCCTAAGAGGATGCCAAAATCATATAATGTAAGCAAACTTAAGAGACATGCACAAATAAAAAAAAAATATCAGAATAAAATATCAAATGTGACAAAGGTCAATAGTAAGACAGTGAAAGATACATTTAAAGGCGGCATAGATTAGTTTGTAAGGCACAGGTCTCTTCCAGATAGGTAGAGTCTGTAGAGATGGGAAAAATAAGCATCTTAGGTCAAGAAAAGAAATCCAACAAAAGATAAAAAAGCATGAGGAATATACTGGGACAGGTGATTGGACTTCAGTTTCAGAAGGCTAACAGTAAAGGAAGAACTTAAACTATTTCCCTATTAACTTCCTTTAAGGAAGAAAAGAGTTATGTCCAAAACTCCATGTCCAATGGATCTCTTGTCCATTAAATATGTTGTATGTATGTAAACATTAAAATTTCTTCCAAAACGTAATATATTGCACATGGTCTAGGGAAGACCTTAGCCAACTTCAATAAGAAGTAAATTAAATTAAGTAACAGTCATTATTTTATTCATGTTCAGGAGTTTTGGGGTTTTTTGTTTTTGTTTTAAATCTAGAAATGGGGGGGGACAGTACTCTATTTTGAAAGTCTAAGACCTCATTTGGCACCAATTCTGCCTTATATCTCAGAATAAACTAAAATAATGTATCAATCTAGCTTCCCATGTAGATACAATAGGTCTGAAACTAAGTTACTACTTGGTTTCATGAACAGATTCAGCAATGTTTCCTACAAACCTAGTTAAATTATTTAGCAGAAGACCATGCTCATCAAGAAGATGAAATATGAGGACTACCAAATTTTGCATTAGTATTAATTCTAATTCCAATAACAAATGAAAGTGAAATTCCAAAGTCTTTATGGTATGAATTCAGCCAGAATCACTGCTAAAAAGTGAATGGATATTTTTAAATAAGCCGGCCAAAAAATTCTAGCACACCTATACCAAAACACAGGAGATGTAATTACCAAGTGGGAAGGAAGCAACACTAGGACTGTACCGTTTAATTAAAGGATTTAAGTTGAGATTAAAGATATGTAAAAACAGTGAAAGACTTGAAAATACAGGACACAAATCAAACAGTTATCTTTTGGGGCATACCATGGCAAAGAAAGTCACAAGCTCACTGACTTGCCATGTAAGAGTGACCATGAGAACCAACACATTGAGGAAGACAGGGTAGATATTATTGTTCCAGTTTTTTGCAGATGGAGCACCTGAGTCTTAGGCAGGTTAAATGAGCTGTCTAAGGCTCGGAGATAATAAATAGTGGAACATGGGGTTTTTCAATCCCAGGCACATTTCCTTTCTACAGTATCACAGTACTTCATATCAGCATCAGCAATGTCTATGAAATGTGACAGTCAGGGAATCCTCTCCTAACTCTGGTATTCTATAATTCCTCAAAGGCAGGAGATAGGTCTTATTCACACTTTCATCTGTAAGCATCCAGTGTAAGGCTTGGCACATCAGAGGTGTTCACGTTCAATGGAGTGAATAATTAATGATAACAATAGTATATCATATTTTTAATATGTCTGCTCTGTAAAACCCTACAATTTTACATCTTTTATTTCATTTGTGGTCAAAACCTGCATAACAAGTCTCATGATCATAATAAGCATACCAAATATCCATTGTGGTCCTCAGTGTTTTACTGATTTTAGCTGTATTTTAAATATGTACTTGATACTCCATATGGCCAACATGTTAATATAATTTAGCTTCTATTTATAATTAGATCACCAACTTTTTAAGTACTACATACAAACACTAAACCACTCCAAAATAACATCCACTTCAATGTCCTTTTGACTTAGTTGTTTTTGTCAAGAAATGGAATCCCTGAGTTACTGAGGGAACTAAAAGGTCAATTTCACCATAAGTTCAATTCCTTATTATATAAATCCTAAAATGGAAATTCAGTTATTTCATAAAAACAACTCAACTTCTGAAATCACAAACAGAAATTACTAGTTTTTGTCTTTCTGTGAACTCATTTTCCATTATTTCATATAGAAACACTTTTTTTAAAGCAGAAAAAAAATCTTGGAAGGTCTACTTTAGTATTTCTCAATCCTTTTTGAAGTTTGTTAAAAAACCTGATTGCCAGGGCGCCTGGGTGGCTCAGTGGGTTAAAGCCTCTGCCTTCAGCTCAGGTCGTGATCTCAGGGTCCTGGGATCGAGCCCCACATCGGGCTCTCTGCTCAGTGGAGAGCCTGCTTCCCCCTCTCTCTCTGCCTGCCTCTCTGCCTACTTGTGATCTCTGTCTGTTAAATAAATAAATAAAATCTTAAAAAAAAAAAAAAAACCTGATTGCCTTCTCTCTCCATGAAATTTTGATTAACCAACAACTCATCAATATATTTTGTTAGAGAACTTCTATCCTGTTCATCAACAAGGTTAGCATTTAATCAAATATGTTTATCTATCCATGACTGTATATATATCTAGTCTTTATATATTTAAAAAAAAAAAAGATTTTTTTTTTCCCACCCCCAAAAACAATCTTTTTCACCAGTGAGAACCATCTCATTTTCCAGGTAAGGACACTGCAACCCAGAAATATTATATAACATTACATATCTGCCTAAAGCAACAACAGAGGATCCTTTTTGTCTAAGGCACAATCAATCCCAAAATTATTGGTGAATTGACTAAGAGACTACTAAAAGACCCAGATACCAATCATACATTCAATATAACTACCATTATTTTTTGGTCATTCTTATTTTCACAAGAGGATATGCAAGGCAAGTAACCCCAATCAGCCAATTCTGTGTTCTTTTAAGTAACTAGTTTTTCAGAAGCTGAAATGAATGGCTAAAATGGATTCTTACTATATTAAAATAAATAAGGTCATTCCACATATCCTCAAATGCCCCACCTGACATCCTTAATACAATTTCTTAAAAATCTTTATTAATAAAATCAGTAGAATTCAGAATAATTTTTAAAAATGATGAACACATTTCCAGAATTAAAATTAAAATTCTTTAAAAAATGATTTACTGTATTAGAATAACTATTTTAAAGTGAAAAATGCCTATATATTTTCCTTCTAATTCCTGGATATATTTTTAACTTAGAGGTTGTTAGACTAAGTGGTTAGTGTTATTAATACTCTTACCAGTTCTGTCATATGACTCATGACATGTACGTGCAATTTCTGCCCCTAGCTCTAAATAATGACCAGCTTTATCCATTCTGGAACCATCTGCTCCCAGTGCAAACATTCCCCCAGCAAAACAGGCCAAATGCCCCATCTTCTTTTCCAAGTGCCCGTTTTTCCATTCTCCAATAAAGGTGAGACCTCCTCGGGACTTCTTAATAAGATGTTTCTCTATAGCCTGTAATAAAGAGCAGAAATTCAAAATTTTAGAAGCAAAGTGTTAGTATTCAAACTTACTACATTCTTCCAGTTATCATAAAACCTTAATAGGTAATAGGATATTCTACAAATCAGTGACTTTCCCTAACTGGAAGAGTTAATTTATAAAAAGTAAGTTTTGGAGAGCAAACAAGTCGCACAGAATCTTGAATACCGCATCACTATTAGGATAAAGACAAGGTGGGAGAGAGAAGACTGACCTAAAGACATAACATGACCTGCATTACAGGTTTTCTTCTTCTTGTGCTAAATGGAATTCATAAGAATCAGTCAGTTGAGATCATGATGACAAGTTATAACCCAAAAGGTTCTATCAATCTATTTTCTATTTCGTACAATAAAGCTGAAGAGGAAGATACCTAGGTTAATCAGAAAAATATGATTTTGGTATTTAGTAAAAATGGTCTCTCCTTTTCCTCGTAACTACAGCTCTCGTCAAAGCACTTTAAAAAGGCACTATTAGGTGAGGCAGCTTGTATGTTATAAAGCTTTCAAAAACTAGTTAGAAGTTTAAATGTCACCCCTCAGCCCCTTACTTTGCAAACTCAGGTATCTGTTTTGGGTGCTGTGTCATGGCAATGAGAGGCCATGTGAAAACAGAGTCCATCCTTCCTGGAATGCCAACTTTACTCAAAAGATGTGGGGATGGCAAGAGAAATATTTTACATTCAACTTGAATGTAACACAACATAGTCTCCAACAAGTACATTTAACTTTATGAAAATTAGACTTTTTAGGAGCTCTGTTCCTTTGGACTATGTTCTCAGACTTTGCTAGGAGGGGCTATAAATTAATTCTCTGCCTTTAGAGATAATTCTATGGAAAATAATTATATAAGAAATACCATTAATTCAGTTCTCTTTGGTGAAAAGGATTATATACAATTAGAGACTACACTTTTTGGACAATAAAAAACAATAAGACAACCCACATTTTTGCGTGTTGTTCTCTGACAAGTTTGGTAACAATCAGCTTTGGAAAAATTTATTGTGTATTCCTTACAACGATAATGTCTGTTTTACAGAATTGTAAGGACTATGCTTCATTCATCATCTTATACTTCATAAGGCCTATAAGTGTAGTACGTAGTCAATAAATGTTTAAGAAGTCATTTTATAAATAAATGGTAGATACTTGTATTTGGGCTGTCAGGGGAATTAGGAATTGGGTGGTAAGGAAAATAAGAGACTACCACTGATTTATAAGTTTTGATTGTTGTTTTAACACCATGAATGGAAAGATTAAGTTTTCGAATACAAGGACAGTATTTTTCATCTTTGTGGGCCTCATGGCATCCGCTATGTTTTCCACAGGAAAGGCACTCAATAGATGCCTACCCAAGAAACATTTACTGAATGCCTACAATGGACTAAACACTTGATACCAAATTATCAGCCTAACATCTGTGTATTCTATAAACTATAGGGAATTAGTTCCCCTAAAAGTAAGGCTATAAAAAGAATAAGATTCTTGCTTTAATTTAAAAACACAATAGCTAGAACTCTGACTATTGATCATCAACCACAGTCAGAACGGTGTTGTTATATACAAAATTATAAAGTCAACAAAGCCTAAATGTGTTTCTTTGAAAATCCAAACAACTCTGATGAAGAAAAACGTAGAGAAAACAAAATTTAAGAATATCAAGAACAGGAGAGGAGGGTGGGAGGTTGGGCAAAATGGGTGAAGGGTATTTGGATACAGGCTCCTAGTCATAGAACGAGTAAGTCATAGGGATACAGGGAATATAGTCAGTGGTACTGTGATAGTGTTATATGGTGACAGGTGGTGGCAGGCCTGCAGTGAGTACAGCAGTAAGGACCTGTTGAATCACTACACTGCACACCTGAAACCAATGCAACATTATGTGTCAACTATACTTCAGTGAAAATAATAAAATTTAAAAATATATATATAGAGAGAGAGAGAATTTTAAAAACTGATTTTTAAAAAAGATCTTATTTATTTATTTGGGGAGAGGGACAAAGGAAGAGGGAGAGAGAATCTTAAGCAGGCTCCACAGCCAGTGCCGAGCCCAACAGGGAGCTTGAACTCATCCCTGAGATCATGACCGGAGCCAAAACCAAGAGTCAGACGCTTAGCTGACTGAGCCACCCAGGCGCTCCAATACAACTTTAAAAACTGATTAAAATCACTCAAGGGCTATGGGTTTGTACTGGATCAGAAAGCAAATAACTTAATAAGCGGGTGACACATTTCTCTATTTCACAGTTTTTGCTTGGAAATATCACATATAAGTGCTTCCAAGACTGAAACCTTTTCCCATTTTAAACTGTCACAGCTGGTAAGAGGTGATAGACATTTATATCTATTTTATATAAATATGAAATGATACAGTAAAGTGGCTCAAAGCACAGGCCCTGGAGCCAGACTGTTCAGTTCTAGGCTCCATCACTTACTAGCTATTGTGAACTTGAGCGAGTTACTCAACCTCTTTGGGCCATGAGGTTCTCAAGCATAAAATGGCAGTAAAGATGAAATGATTTCATTTCATGTAAAAGGGGTTACAACAGCTCCTGGTGTGTGGAAAATACTAGGTAAGTGTTTTGCCCTTATTATCGATCCATAAGGCTCTCCATGAGTAGGTTCAATGTCAGCTGAAAGAAATGTTTATGAAAATATATGTAAAGTCAGAAGTTTTTCTAGTCTGTGTAGACAATAACTAAAAGTAATTATAATAAATGTTCACACATAAACAATTACTTATTTATTCTTCAACAATTTCTTTAAAATGCCACAATAAAGGGGGACGCCTGGGTGGCTGAGTTGGTTAAGCGGCTGCCTTTGGCTCAGGTCATGATCCCAGCATCCTGGGATCAAGTCCCACATCAGCCTCCTTGCTCAGCAGGGAGCCTCCTTCTCCCTCTGCCTCTGCCTGTCACTCTGTCTGCCTGTGCTCACTCTCTCTGACAAATAAATAAAATCTTAAAAAAAAAAATGCCACAATAAAGGAAAACAATACAAGGCTTTTAGATTAAAATACTAAAACTCTACAGTGAGGGCAAAGAATCAAATGCAGAAAGGTGGTCACTGGTTACAACAAAACACACTGTATATTCAAAGAATGTTAAGCAGGTAAATGTTCTGGCAAGAATTACCTCAATAGCATCATCATACATTTTTCTTGCCTCGTGGTCCGTTTTATCTGACATCAACCATGCTTTTAGTAGGTATTCATAAAAACTGTCTCCCAGCCCACCAACTGATGTGTGATCTGTAATAAAAGAAAAAGGGAACGATGAAGGTGGAGGAGAAAGAAGACAGAAGACAATGAAATAATCTTTTTCAAGTATAATGACTATTACTGGTCAGTAATTTAAAAATTATATTGACAGCCTTATTTGCAGCATACTTCAAATTTAGTCCAGTAAAAATATGCCCTTATCACTTCCCTCTGCATGTATATCCAACTTTCCAGAAACCCCTTTCTGGGGACGGGGTATTTCACATATGTAGGAGTCTTTCTTCAGCCACAGAGTTTGTATACCATCACACAATCATACTTTTCCAGAAGTGAAAACAATTATCTTTCATATATTAATGACTTTAACTATACAAGCTATAAGATTAAACACGAGATACACTTGAATCTGATGTTAACTAAAAAAAGCCCATTTTTCTCTAGGATGATTAGTGATGATTTCTGTGCCATAGACAGTAAAGTAAAATAAATTTAAAAGGAGAAAAAGCCCGAGAATTTCTTTGTAGTAACACTTTGCATACTATAATAAGCTACTGAATGGATACACTTGATTGCTATTTATATAACTCTTACTTCATATGTCTGCCCTATGTGTATTCTTATTCTACCCCATCTATACTTTTTTTTTACTGTTTTTTTTTGTAATTTTTTTTAATTTTATTTTTTTATAAACATATAATATATTTTTATCCCCAGGGGTACAGGACTGTGAATCTCCAGGTTTACACACTTCACAGCACTCACCATAGCACATACCCTCCCCAATGTCCATAACCCCACCCCCCCTTTCCCAAGCCCCCTCCCCCCATCAACCCTCAGTTTGTTTTGTGAGATTAAGAGTCACTTATGGTTTGTCTCCCTCCCAATCCCATCTATACTTTTAATCCTAACTAAGGCAACAGCACAACCCCCAAGGCAACGCTATTCTTCTACCCCTTTCCATGAGCCCCATTCTACATTCTTAAACTTTGCTTAAAAACTCACATCCTCCCTGCCCAAAAAAGAAAAACAGCACATTTTTATGACTTATCAATCATTCACAGAGTACTAGCACTGGTTTCCTACTTTAGTGAGGAAACAATGGACCACTGGGTGGTTTATGGAACAGCTGGCTATCTGTTTGGGGGGACATGCATAAGCTCACAAAAATAAATTTGTGGTGGATCAGTGATTTAAAGTAAAACACAAAACTATAAGTATTCCAGAAGAAAATACAAGAAGATGTCTGCCCTTCCCAAGCAGATAATATTCTTAGGCAAAACACAGAACGAAGGAGCCACAAAAGAAAAGATTTATAGCATCATCGGGTACAAGCTACCATAAATGAATTTATAAGACAAGAAATCGAATAGGGTATTTGCAGCATATAGAACAGAAATGAAGATTAATACCCTATACAAAGAACTCTGATAACTAAATAAGGAAAACTGCTTTAGAGCACACACAAGTTATTTAAAAAAAGAAACACAAATTGGTAATTAAAATAAGAAAGGAAGATCAACTCCATTAGTGATCAGAGAAAAGCAAATTAAAACAATAGGTTCCATTTTTGTCTATTTAACTGGCAAACATTTTTAAAAACTCATAGCATCCAATGTAGATAAAGTTATGGTTCACAGGTACTGGGAACAGAGGGCAATTTTTGTAGTAGCTATCAAAATGTAACTAGGTTTTCTACTTCTGGAATTATCCTCTAACAAACACTTGCACAAATACACAAGTATAGATGTAAAAAAAAAAAAAAGGTCATCAGAGCCCTGTATCCATTAATAAAAACGTCAGATAACCTCAAAGGTCTAGGGATGTAGCTACATAAATTACAGTATAAACAGACTGTAAGAGAACACGTAATCATTAAAGAGGATCAGGTTAATCTTTCATCTGCTACTGGGAATACATCTATTATATGCTGTTAAATAGAGGGATGGCAAGTTTCAGAAAAACAGTTTGATACTACTAAAAATTTGTATGTTTAAAGAATATTATTGTACACATAGAAAAGGTCCGAAAAGACAGCCGTGCACAGTGATTACCTCTAAGAAAGTAGCCCTTCAATTTTTACTGTATATACTTATGCATTATTGGAATACATGTAACTCATGTGGTTAAATCATCTTCTGTTATAGAAATAAACAGGGGAAAGTGCCGCCATTCACTTTAAACATGATCTGCTAATACTTTAGTAATTCGCTTGTACCCTCAACAGCCTGCATCTCAAATGCTCTTATTTCTCACATTTTTTCCTTTAGTCCTAAGTGTACACTTGAATGAATTCTTACATATATACACCCACAAATCCGCCAAAATAAAAATATAGAGCATTTCCAACATTCCAAAATCTCCCTCATGTAGCCCTCCCAATCAATACCCCAACTTCCAAAGATAACCATTTTTCTGACCTCTATCACTAAATGATCTGTCAAGTTCACATAAAATAGCCATTCATATGAAGTGGCTTTCAAGAATGATTTGGGAGCTTAATGATCTCCTTTGTTTTCCATTTAAATATCTAGAAGAAGCCCCCTGCCTTATGTAGGCTTCTGAGTCTCTAACATTTAAAGTGCTTGGGTATTAGGGAAGACACTCAGAGGAAAAGAACACAATTTTCTCTCAGACTGCACAAGAAGATCACAATTAGATTTCTAACAGCTTTCAATACTTGTCATACTTACATTTAAGAATTTTATAATGATGGTTAATATATGACAATGGGTTTAGAGGCTAAGTTACACTCAGATGCTAAATTAGTTCCAACAGATTTAAATATTTTATAGTTACTGGAAATCATAAAAGATAACACATATTTGTAAAATATTAAAACAATATGGAATTGAGTAGACAGGGAAAGTCCCTCATATTTAGGGACAAGAGAATATATGTAAAACAGAAATGCCGAGGGGTGCCTTTTGGGTACATTATTTGCTAATGAACCAGAAGACAGCAATTTTTTATTTGGCGAGGAACTATGTTAAAAAACAGCTACATAAAACAACTATGACAAAATATCCCCATCAAAACTGTTACTTCAGTGTTGTGGTCATGTCATGGTGTCTTGACTCACTTGGTGAATGATATCATTACTATCTTACCAGCTGCCCGGTCTTATCTTGGGCTTCTCATCAACTGCTTAAAAACGTGCTTGTTTCAGTTGTCCTCCTATTTGCCTGTCTGTGGTCTCCCCTGTTTTTCCTTCATCATTTTTCTTTCCAGCCCCTCTGGTGTGTCACTTCCAAGTACACTGAGTCCCTCCTATGTTTATTTCATTGCCCTTGAGGACTTCCTCCCCAAGCTGGTTATTCTCTCAGGGGTACTGTACCTGCTTTCCCAAGTTGTACCATGGTTTCCTCAACATGTCATCTTGTTTACACTTGTTTTACTGTCATATTCTTATATAATTTCCCAGAAAGGACTATGCAGATTATAACTATACCTTTATTATGCTCCCCTTCCTAATTTTATATTGTAAAGGTATCAAATTCAAGGTTGGAAATCATTTTCCCACAGAGGTTCTCAAAAGTACTGCCCCAGTGTCCCGTAACATTGTGTCATGGGTGAGAGACATCAGCAATGGTATTTTATAGGCTCAACGTGTCCTCTTTTCTCCAATCCCCTTCCTCACACTCAACTGGCCTTTCTAAGCTCTACATCTGCATTTTGATACTGCTCAGATGTTTTCTTACATTCATTGTGCTGGGCACTATTCCAACAATAGATTTGCGTCTTTCAACTCAGAAAATTCTCTTCCATTATTTATTTTCCTCACCTCACCTGCTTGTTTCTCTCTTCTGAAACTCTTACTAGTTGGAAACTGGACCTCTTGGATTGATTTTCTATTATTCTTTACTCTCAAATTTTAGTCTCTCTTAGTCTTCTTCCTCTATATTCTGGAATTATTTATTTATTTTTAAGGATTTTATTTATTTTTTGACAGAGAGAGATCACAAGTAGACAGAGAGGCAGGCAGAGAGGGGGGGAAGCAGGCTCCTCACTGAGCAGAGAGCCCAATGAGGGGCTCGATCCCAGGACCCTGAGACCACAACCTGAGCCGAAGGCAGAGGCTTAATGCACTGAGCCACCCAGGCACACCTGGGATTTTTTTTTCTAATGTTTATATTTTAGTCCTTTCAATGTGGTTTTACTGTAAGCAATGATACTTTTGACCTCTGAGCTCTTCTCTGTTCTCTAATTGTTTCTTTTTTCATAGTACTGTATTCCTATTTTATGAATACATCACCTTCTTAGAGTTCTCTGAAAAACTAGGTATGCTTGTTTATGGAATTGCTTCAGTCTCTTCCAGGATCCCCTTTTGACTTTAAGTATTTTTCACTGTGAAATTTAACATACACATGGAAAAGCATATAAAATTCATTATACAGAATATTTGTATAATCTCTACTCAGAAGAATGCTAGTGCCCAAAAGCCTTTCATGTACCCTTTCTCAATTATTATTCCCAGATCCCCAAAGATAACCATTATCTCAATTTTTGGTAAAAAAAAAAAAAAAAAAAAAATGCAATCACTTTTTTATATGGTTATCATCTAATACCCTCTCCCAACCACTACTGTTTAACTTTGTCTACTGGTATATTTAATAAATGTTATATATTCTCTTGCGGCTATCTTCTGTATCCCAATACTCTGTGAGAGTCAACCACATTGTTGTATGTATGCGCTGCTATTTGATATCCCACTGCATCAACAAACCACTGTTTATTCATCTGTGTTAAGACTGAAATTCTGGGTAGTTAGTGGGGGTTTCCTCTACAGAACAGGGGGTACTCTTCCACTGAGCAGACTTCTGCATCACTAGGTCTCTCTCCTGAGTGGGAATTCTGACTGGATGCCTTCTGTGTAGGCAAAGTAGAGGAAAGGTGGGCCAACTGCCAGGTTTCGCTTTAGAGTCAGGAACAGGGTATTTGTTGTGAAACTGGATCTGCTTCAATTTTAGAATAAAGGGAGGTTTTATTCTGGGGTACTAACATCCACATGGAAAATTTTAACTTCCTCTTCA